TTAGAAAACATTATATGCGCGGGAAATGGAGAGAGCTGATACTTGTAAATTTAATTTTCAAAAATAGAAAATGTTGTTGTGTTTCGTAAAATAACACTAATAACATATTTACTATTAAAAATTTTGCAAATATATTTTCCAATATACAATCTGTCATCAGTTATCATCTTTTATCGTTTATTTAAAAACGATTGTTCCGAAACATTGTATGAGGAAAGCCGAAGTCATCTCTCCATTAATCCATTTCTTTGAGGAAAAGGAACATGTCCATACATGTCTTGTTTATAAAATGTACAAATAATAAGTATCTATTCATTATTTTTAAACTGATCAAAGTTATATATGATTATTCTGTATCTAGAATCAAGGATTTACATTTATTTTACATTTTAATATGGTTATGTGATTATGTGACGGTATTTTTTAGGGTATTTAATAAATATATAAATATTTTAAAAAGTAATGTACTATTTTAATAGTACATATTATATTTAGTAATAAAAATTTTTCAATCAAACATTTTAATGTGTTATGGTTTAAATAAAATACTTTTTATTATAATTTGGTTAAAATAAAAAATACTCCTATAGTTGTATTATATGTATTTGCATGACTTGTAAGTTCAATATGTACAAGTATATCAGTTTCATGCGTAGTTTAGATTGTTTAAAAATAATATTTCTTAGCTTTTACATTTTTATTTGTTGTAGATGTTTTTATTTATACACTAGGCAAAACATTATCCTATTTTTAATACTTCAAATAAATACATGGAGTATATTTGTTTTAAGTAAATTATAATTGATAAATCATATTCATATCCATATGGCTATCTATGTTTAATAAGGGATATTATGCTTGTTGTGCACATAGTATTTCACTATTGTTCTGTAATTGTGTGATTATTACAAAACTTATTTTGTAATAATTTTTTGTGTGCTTGTATAATATCCAGCTTGGTGAAGCCATGTCCTCGTTGTGAAGCTCCTCCATATGGATTTCAAAATGTCATGTCTCTCAGTCAAGACACTAATAAATTTGCCGTAAGTCCATTGAAAACTATACATCATCATAAAGAATAACTATTGACTAAACATTATTTATTAATACTAACATAATTTTGTAATTTTTCACTATGTCTAATTTTCAAAAATGTGTTACTGACAAAAATAAATATATTATTTTTATTGCTATTATCAACATTTAATAAACTTTTATTTATCGTGCCCACTTATTAAATTATTTTACTTAAAAATGTGATTGACTTACAGCTTGTTTATATGTTTCTGTTGCATGATTAATTTTAAATTTGTTTATTAGTTATTATGGTATTAATTGTGTAATTAAATGCATGTAAAATATTTGTTTAATATATTTATTGATTGAATCTAATACTCAATTTAGGGTGAGGTCCAAAGAGCACCTGTTTCAGGTAATTTAGATGCACCAGAAGGTGGTTTTGATGCTATTATGCAAGCCATTGTATGTCGCGAACAAATTGGTTGGAGAGAGCGTGCCAGACGGTTATTGTTATTCTCAACCGATGCTGGATTTCATTATGCTGGTGATGGAAAAGTAAGATTTCTATATTAATTAATTTATATTTTAAATCATTAACCAATTCATTATATATTTAGCTTGGTGGCATTATAAAACCAAATGATGGCCGTTGTCATCTTGATAATAGAGGTACCTATACACATTCGTCTTTACAAGATTATCCATCAATATCACAGGTAACAACTATATCTATGTGCTTATAACTTACTAAGGTACTTATTTTACTTTTGATCTGATTAAACATTTTTTTAGATAAATTTAAAAGTAAGACAAAACTCAATCAATATGATCTTTGCTGTAACAAGAGAACAAATAAATGTTTATGAACGTCTAATGCAACATATTGAAGGAGCTTCAGCTGGTACTCTATCTGAAAATTCTGAGAATGTTGTTGATTTAGTTAAAGATCAGTACAGTGTAAGAAATATTATATTTTCTAATATAATAATATTTTTTATTACAATTCATTCAATGATCTTGCTCTGTATTATAGAATCTTAATAACTATTAATTGTATTACAGAAAATATCATCTTCTGTAGAAATGAGAGATACAGCATCTAGTGCTATAAAAGTTACATATTATTCAAGCTGTCTTGATAAAGATGGTGTATTAAAACAAACAAATAAATGTGATGGGCTTAAAGTTGGCACTGTTGTCAATTTTCAAGCTGAAATTGAAGTTACATCATGTCCACCAAATCGCAAAGATTGGACACAGACTTTTCAAATTTACCCTGTTGGTATTAATGAATCATTAACTGTGGTATTAGATATGCAGTGCGAATGTCCGTGTGAAAATGTTGGTCATCCTGTAAGTAACAACTTCATAATGCCAAATAGTATAGATAAATTATTCAAAATGTAATTTAGGATTATATTGAGAAATCACCTGACTGTCGTGGAGCTGGAACATTAAAATGTGGTGTTTGTGAATGCGATTCAATGCACTTTGGTCGTATGTGTGAATGTGATGCTAACAATAACCGCCACGGTAATGATACATACATGGTATCTGGCTGTCGGTTGAAYAATGACTCGGAAATAAATTGTTCAGGTCGCGGAGAATGTAACTGTGGGCAATGTGATTGTCAAGCTAGATCTAATCCAGAAGAGGTAAAATTAACTTTTAATGTAAATTATTTAGGTTGATGTAACTGATAATAAAAATATGTTTCAGAGAGTTTATGGTACATACTGTGAATGTGATAATTTCTCTTGTGATCGATCTGGTGGTGCTTTATGTGGTGGTTATGGTACATGTGACTGTGGTGTGTGCAAGTGTATCCCAGGATGGACAGGTGAATCATGTGATTGTCATGCTACAAATGAAACATGTATAATGGATGGTAGTAATGAAATATGTTCTGGTCGTGGAAATTGTGAATGTGGTCAATGTAAGTGCTCTGAAGAAAACGGTATAAGATATTCAGGAAAATACTGTCAAAAATGCCCAGTAAGCCATTAAAATTTTATTATGTTGATGTGTAGTTTGTGTWAATATACATTTCTTAATTAACTTTTTGTAAAACAATATTATTAATTTAAACTGTTGTGTGATTCAGACTTGTCCAGGTAGATGTCAAGAATTTAAAGAATGTATTCAATGTCTTGTATATAAGACTGGTTCTATGTCTCCTGAAGAATGTGAAAAAAGTTGCACAATCAAACCAATCATAGTAAAAGTAGCTGAAGGTAAAATATGAGTACCTAATTATTTTAACAAAACATTTATTTTAATAATATTTTTTATTTTTAGCTAATGAAGACAAAGATGAAAATATGTGTTCATACTATGATCAAGACGATTGTCGTTTCGCTTATGTTTATACGTATGATCAAAGTGGAAAAATTGTAATTCGAGCACAAGAAGAACGTGAATGTCCTCCTCAAGTTTACTTCATGGGTATGTACTATAATATAGTAATTAGTTAAAATTTTTTCTGTACATGTTAGTTAACTGTCATGTATAACTTCAGGTATTATATTGGGTGTGATTGGAGCTATAGTATTAATTGGAATGGCTCTTTTGTTGCTGTGGAAACTACTGACAACAATTAATGATAGACGAGAATTTGCGAAGTTTGAAAAAGAACGTATGATAGCCAAATGGGACACAGTAAGTATTGTTAAATAAACAAACCGTTTTTTTTTTTTTTTTTATTAAATTCATATATTTTTTTTTAGGCTGAAAATCCAATCTACAGACAAGCCACGTCAACATTCAAAAATCCTACTTATATGGGCAAATCTTAAGATCCAAATGTGTTCAAAACTACATGTTGTATACTAACAAAATCTTAAACACAGTATCTGTCACTCGTTTTTACAGCTCTTGTTAGAAATTAGAACACGTGCCATAGTTTGTAAATCATAGTAAATTAACACTTTGTTTTTTTTCCATCTGGAAGTCATGAATTAACATAATTGCAGTAGAAATCAGTATCTTGTAAATAAAGATTCATTATTTATTGTTGTCAATGTTTAATTTTCTGCAGCATTATTGTAAGCAAAAAAAAAAAACAATTATAACTTAAACATGTTACTTAGAAACTTCCTAATATTTATTTTTGTTAAATRTATTTTAATTCCTTTTCTGTATATTTTTTTCTATTTTGTTAATATTTTATTTTAATATTATATTTGATGTATACATAATTTATTTTCTATTCTATTTTTAAATTAATAAACAGATCTCTGAATTTGAAATCGAGCTTAATAATAAAAATACATTTAAAATATTGATTATTTTCATCTAGTCTTCCAACATTAAAACCGCCATTGAATTTGAACTTAAAATAAACTTATTTTTTTGCAAATAAAAATGCTGAACATCGAATTTTTGTGCCTTTAATAATTATTAGAAGTTACAATTAAAATAGCATATATTTAATATATTATATATAATATATACATATATATATAGTGCCTTAACAATTATTGTTTGCGTGCTAATTTTTTTTTTTGCATTATATTTTTGTATCATAACATTAACGACTGACTTTTAAATATACAATATGAATAAATAAAATTGTGTACAATATAATATGGACGTACGTTTTTCTTTTTATAACTCACGGTTTCCTTATCCAGTAGCAGTCGTTTAGAAATTAATGTACCTACTGATAATATTCCTACACAAGAAGTAAGACTCAACTGTGAAAGTCGCAAAGCCTCGAATCTTGAACAGATGTCATGCCATTTTAMTGTGTTCATRGTTCGAGGTTCAACTGAAAATTCCGCACAAGGTCTCACGATTCGAACTCTTTCTCACGTAACGTGATACAATACTTATTCATGGGAGCTCGTTCGGCGGCTGTCCGAACGTCGTGCGAGAGATACGCAAAAACCCCCAATAGCCGAGCATACTGTTCGATAAGAGTGGCTCTCGAGATAACGACTACAAACTATAATAGGTATGACACGATATATCCACAATCCACTTTTCACCGCCGTCGTTCAGTAGGAAATCAGCAGTCGCTTTTTGGTCATGTGCGACAGTATATCTATGTAATATAACAGTAATATGTATATTGTTATAAATTATAATTGACACCTATATAATAATATATTTTATATCGGTAACGTAAACGCGAAAACCCGTTGTAGTTGTTGTGGTGTAACGAAACAGTGAACCCAATATTTACCAACCACCATGTACGCTTTGCAAACAGTCGGCAGCACAACCAGCTCCGTCAAAGGTAACGGCGACGCCGATGTAAACATAATAATAATTGCGATCGAATACCTTATACAGTACACGCGTGAATTATTCCTATACGGATGTACATATTGTACTTATGTGTCGTAACAGGAACGATGCCGTTCGCCGATCTCGCGGATTTCAATTTATATTTGTATGATATATTTTTTTATTGTGTGCAGATGACACGGAGGTGATGGATTTTGAAGATGTTGGCGGTAACTCGATAGTCGGGCAGATCATCAGCAACAGTAACGCCGTCAAACGTTCAGGGAACCTGACGTCAAGTACGTGATCGCGTGTTAAATATTATTTATCATATCGAACACCTCGGCGAGTGATCGTTTTATTAGTGTCAATTGTTTATTACTTTATATGTAAACGACATGCCATATGCGGCGAAATGAGTGGTTGCTCAGTTTTTTCCATTGTTTTAAGTACTTGAAACAAAATCTTATTATAATAATATATAGTGTAATTACTTATTATACGAATAGGCCGATCGCATATCTCATCTTTAGACTACCTATATAATCTATATTCACACTTTTGTATTTTTAATACTGTTTTTCTACTCCATTTTGTTTCGTCATTTATAAGCACTTGTGCTATAATAATCAAAACACTATTGAGAGTGTACAAAAATAAGTTTAACCTTGTCCGGTATTAAACGACAAAATTTGATATCTGTAATATATTTTGAGCTATAGAGGACATCTGGATGTTACMACTAAATTTACCGATGTAATTATTCTGTATAATATACGTATAACACGAATGTTCATAATTTCAATGAATATCTTTCAAATTTTGTTTTAAATGAAAAAATATTTATAACAAAAATTAAATAGAATATTGTTGATCGTTCAAAATTCAAGATAATTTTATAATGCAACTATTTAATATTTTAGGTATATTTATAGAAGCCAGAAGGTCGGTCTTATTTTTCAAATTAACAAAAATGTTATTAGATTTAATTTTTTTAAATTATTGGAATACTCATCATGATGGATAACCATATATTTTTTTATAGTATGCTTTTACGTCTTAAGCAAAACTGATCACACTCGTTACGTATTAAAATTTTATGTGATTTATACAAATAAAAACACACATATCATTGTAAAATCAAAAAATCATCATTTCGCTCAGAATCTAAAATAAAATAAAACTAAATTTGGTAAGACATTACATTTTTAACTTAACAAATTAACAAATTTTTGCCTCCTTTAATTCGCGCATCTGCAATACAACTTTGCACTTTGTTTTTTTTTTATAGCAATCCTTATTATTATTTTTTTACCAGATATGGATTGATTATTTTGTTTCTACAATTTGAATTACAGGCTGATAAATTTTTTTTAACATGGTAGCCGGACGCCTGTGGGTACATTTGTATTGAGAAAATTTCGAATTCCATTTAACCAATAAATTATAATGATAATTTTGTTTATTAAAAATACAATTGGTATAATTTGATTCCTTCGTCCACAAATGTATACTATTTAAAAATAATGGATACCTAGTTATTAATTATTGTTGTTCGTGCAATAAATGTTAATTTACGTTCGCCATCGATGAAAATCCTGCAGTAGATCAGACCAATTAGGATTGAACTTGTATTTTTTGAATATCACGACTGTACCATTTATACCCAACAAATTACCTAAATAATAATCAAACATTTTAGGGGACAAGTGTGTGGTGCGGAATGCGGATTAATAGAAGATAATTTAACAGATCCATATTTTGATGACGGTATTCTTAATGAAGATGATTTTCAGATTACTTCATTTCATGACGAATTATGTTAAAAGAAGTTCCTTTATTTGATCGTCAAAACTTATTTTTTCAACAGTACGGAACACCATCGTATAAAGCTATAATTATTGTTAGACTACAAGTGAAATGTTTAGAAATCAATGGATGAGAACAATGTACATAGGCGCACATTCAGTCTTAAACTTGGTAGTGCTAAAATCTTTTATCCCAAAGTGACTTGTAGTTGTGCGGGACTTTGATTTCCCCACGCCACCTAACGGTTACACTTACCATTTCAAACAAAATTACTGCGTGACTACATTAATAGTCTCAAATTAATGAATCTGATTTTCAATATATCCTATATCCTATAACCGATTATTATGACGACTATTATTATATTCTTTGATGAACAAGTGTTGCAATCGGGGTCGTCTACATTTTCACTACTTTCATCCTTTTTCAAAGGTTAGGTTAGGTAAATTTTTTCAAAGTGTGAACTTTTGTACCTCACAGTTACCACAGAAAGTCGTTTTTTAGGTTAGGTTACAGGACTACAGACTTCCCCCAATATTGGTTTTAACAACAGATAGGCCTACAGAGATAAGACATTTAGTATATTAATATAGCCATATTGGTTGTATTCATATAAATTATAAACAAAATAATATGAACAAAAGTTACATATAATATTGTTATTATGAAGAATATGTACTGAATAGCAGAATATATTTATTTATTATATGGACTCATGCTTAAAATGTTAGATAACTATATTAACTATTTTAATCGAGTATTTAATTATGGGTTTCAGATGGCTATCAATCTTCTCAAACTCACCCAGCGATACATAATTATGGTAAGGGCATATTATTAAAACACTTATTTTTTAGATTTTTAAGTCGGTAATCAAYAATTAATATTTGAGATAATGTACTTATATTTCTGTATGCGTTTATCTCAATTCATTCTTATTGGAACGTTAACGGTCCTTTTCAACATTATAAATATTAAAAAATATACCTTTAGCATTAAATTAAAGATAATTATATACATAGGAACTGTGCCCCATCCCATTTACCATATTTTTTAACTTTTTAATAGCAAGGTATTAATCGCTCTTTCTAAGTTCTAACTAAATATTATGTTTCTAACAAACACATGCATATTGCAGATATTTAGTGATTAAGATATTATTTTGAGATGTATAATATGAGTTATTACAACTAAGGACTACAAATATATGCTCTATAATAGTATTAAATATGCAGTTATGTTCTAAAAATGACCAAAATATGCTCTAAAAAATAATAATTTTAAATTCTAAAATTTATATTATTTTTTTATTAAATTGCTATTTATATTTTCTTTCCTGTTCTGAAAATTATTTAAATTATTTATAAAAAAAGAGTGTGCAATTTTAGTATTTAAATTTTCAGTATCTGAAAACCAAACAATAATTTTTGGTTTATCTACACTACTTTACATTTTGCTGAATGCTGATAAAGTGATAAATCTTTAACATTTTCTAAAAAAAACCACGGGTGTCCTCAAACGAGGCAAGACGGGGATTTTGCTCCCACCGAGAATTTTAAATTCTTTTCCAAAGCATTATCTATAACTCGTCAATTTAGCAAACATAGATTTMTTTTAAAATGTAAGCATTAAATGTATAAAATCTTCATTTATATTTAAATTAATTTTGTATCCTGCTATAAAAATGTCTGGGGACGCCAATGGAAAAGATTTCTAAATACGCCCCTGGATATGCACGTGTATACATTTATTATGTATATGTCTATTTAAAAAAATAATATCCAGATATTATACAGTGTCTTGTATAATTCCAGAGCGAAACAACGTCGACAAAAATCACACTGGCTTGTGTTTTTGGGCCATATTTCAAGCGGTTGGACTTACGTGCGTCGGCACGATTATTTGTCGATCTGTTGTGTATCAAAATGGATTTTTCGAAATATCTTCCAGCAGGAATTCTACGTCCATTACTAAAAACCAATTTTGTAATTGGCATTACTCACTTAGCACAATTGGATTTATATACCTCTATGCCAACTGTAAGTGTTGTCACAGTGATAGGTCAGCCGTTTATATACCTGCTATAATTACATAATGTTTTATTGCCTTAATCGTTCAGAATAAAACTGAAGGGTTTGATGCTGCGATTGTCTGTTCGATAAAAATTTAAAAATTCTAATACTTCTGGGGCAAGCGGGTGTACTAAAATTCGATACAATATTTAGAATTTGTGATGTTTTAGATACATTTTTGAGGGGCTTTAATGACTATTTTACATCACACRTGTAGACAGACAGACAGTGTTCATGATATTATATTATACAACTGTTTGCAGCGATTTTCATGATAAAATCCCACAAATCGAAAGTGTCRCTGCCGTACCTGATGTTGCACACGTTCGCGTACCTCGTGTCGGCCTTGGGGCTGTGCGCCATGTTCGTGCACAAGGAAACTGGCAAGCCCGAGGGAAGCCCGTTCTATGAGTACCATTTATACTCTGTACACTCTTGGACCGGTGTGTTAGCGGCCACCCTGTTCACGGTCCAATGGCTGTCCGCCGCCGCCACGTTCATTATGCCCTGTCTGCGCAGCATAGGGTTACCGCTAGGCAAGATGTTCAGCCTGTATACTACCATATTGTCAACCATCTGTCTCATATCTGGAGTCAACCAACACGCCCTGAAGACGTTGTGAGTATGGTGACGTTATTCTTTAACTTTAATCGCAGGTGGACTTGAGATTTGATTATGTCTTATTATTTTTATTATTCATCTTCTTCGTCAGAGATTATTATGTTTGTACATGTAGGTATCATATTAATTTTTTCATTATAACTTTCCTTATGAAGTATATTCTTTTATCTTATTCGATATTCAAGTTAATATTTATATATAATAAACAGTTCGCCTAGTTKCTTTATGTTTAGTGTGGGTAGTTGGTAGATAGAATTTTGAAAAATTTGGAATGAGATGGAAGTTTACCATAATCTTTTGTTCACCATATTGATCGATAGCACTTTTTAAAAATTATTTGAATTCGTTATTGTGTCTACTTGAGAGTTGAGATCGGACAATCCATTTTTCCCAATTTCATGCTTCGTCCACCATCAATAATTTTAAWTTCTGTTGGAATATTTTCAAACGTTGAGTATTCGGAATGTTGACYTATTATGAAGAGTATTCGGTGGGAATCGATCTGTAGTATGTAGATACTAGATGATATAATAAATAGACGGTGGAAGCAGGAAGCGATATACACTTGTACCGAAAACATAAATTAAAACAATAAAATAAAAATAATACAACTCAACAAAACATACTGATATACAATATATAATAATCTATATTTACTGATAATTAATTGTTTCTTTATTGTTATTAAAGCATGCGATAATATTTTTTTATCTAATTAGTATTTATTTTTACTTTTGAGGGTCATAACTGTTCTTTAAACATCTATTTATCTAGAATTTAGAAAAAAAGCTGGTAAGTGGTTGACGTTCTGCTGTACGGTGGGTCACTGTAATGCAGAGGTTCCCAAACTAYGCGCCGCGGTGTGTTGTCAGGGGAGCCGCGGCTGTGYCTCGCTGACGACTATGTTATCTGGTCTAAAAATAAACAATGATATTTTACGATGAAAAAAACGTCGTAAATTTTATTAAGGGCGCCATGAGAAAACTTCAGTTCTAAAAGGGCGCCACGAGTATGAAAAGTTTGGGAACCTCTGCTGTAATGGATTATCTTAAATGTGAATTCAATGATAAAATATCATTGTTAAGGTATGAAAAACGATTCTGAACAAAAATGGTTGGTCATACTAGCCTAGTATTACTAGGATATTTAATATTATATGCATTGGTGCAAATCACAGAGGTGATAAAAATGCTTAGCACCCTGAATCTTAATCTTAATGCTAACACCCCGAATCTCATGATTATCTTAAATTATAACTAAAATTTATGATTTTGTGCTTCTACCATGGGTCAAGATAGTCTATAGGACATCACAATTATTCACAAGGAAAGAGAAATGGAAAGGTAGGACTTAATAGATGTCCAGTACTCCAGTGTGATTACATATATCTAGTATAATTACAGTGAAACTTCCATATTATATCGAACTTCTAAATAAAAAAATTTTAAACTAAATATTTTTGAGGTTTGGTTTTTTATTTTAATTTTATTAAATTCTCTATAGGATTTTTTTATTATAACTTCTTAATATGAAAGTTTCATTATACATATTATAAAACAAAATTTGATTAGCATACATTGTTAGAATTTATAATTATGGCTAGTGTAATGCAGTGAAATACCTTAAAATAGTGTATCCAACCAGGAAACATTTGCTATATGACTGAAGTCTGAAATATGACTATTTTTGGTAATTTAGTTATACTATAACCGATCATATGATTAATCATTGTCAATGAAGTATAATGTTAGATTACCGTTATTAAATAATAATAAAGTTGGTATGGTGGTCTTGACAATTTTACATTTTATTTGGGGGGCCTTATAACAAAAACAGCTTAGAAGTACTGCCTGAAAAAATGTATTTAAAATCTCAATAAATGCACTAGTCATATATCCTGAAAAATTAATTCAAAGTATAAACGTATACAAATCTATCAAGATGTGTTAAGAAAAAAATTTTAAATTTAATTATTTTTAACCATTCATAAAAATGTATAAAACAAAAATTAACAAATACGAGTAAAAAGTTATTACTAAATAGGATTTGTAAAAATATCAAAAAGTAGGTATTAAAGCATGAAAAATTGGCTAAAAAATGCTTAAAAGACCTAAAATTCAAAAAAAAATTTAAATAAAAAAAAGATTCTAGATTGAGTTTGTTTGTACCTAATTTAAGCTCAGTGTTAAGAAAGTTATGTTTTACAATAATCTAAAAATAATAGATTTTCTTATAGATTTACAATCCTTTATTTTATAAAATATTGACTTAAATCTTCAATATATTTTATTTACAAAGATACCTATCAAATGTAACGGATATAAAGAGTAGTATCAATATTTACGGAGAATAAATTAATAAACCCGTTACGGTTTTGCTTCTTCTAAAATTTCTTGGGTGCTTAAGTCCCCTTAATATTCTTGAGTGATTTACGCCTATGATGACCTGCATATTATTATATTTGTATATAATCGTATACTTTAAAAGTTTCAAGTACCCACGAAAAATATTTTCAATTTACAACAAGATAACTAAAATCGTTATTCTTGGTTATTTAATTATGTACGTAATTTCGTCCAAATTTAAACTCAAAATAAATAAAGTTTTATAATTTTAGTACTTTTATAATGTGGTTGGTACTTTGGGGGGTCAAAAGTAAAAAATTCTTAATACTTTTCTAAATAATTGAGAAAAACAAACTAAAAATTAAGGGAAAAACGGGAAATTTTACGCACAGTCATTTTTCGACAAAATCGATTTTGGTTTTTGATGTAACTTTAAAACAAATGACCATAGATACATAAAATTTTCACCTAATGTTTATATAAGTATATTCTATCCACCATGCAATTTTCAAAAAATGTCGACTTAAGTTGAACTATTCATAGGCATTTCAAATTTTCGATCATTATTAGTTTTTTTTAAATTAATATCGATAAAAATTTATTTGTTAGGCAGAAAAGCTTGAAAATTTAATACAAGGCTCTTAACATATTGTTACAACAGCAGTTGAAAAATAAAAGAAATTCATAGTCACAATTTTTTTTTTATAAGCATTCAAAGTTTGAATTTTGACAACATATGTAAAAATCACGAAAATTCGCAAATTATTTCAAACTAGAAATTCATAAAAATTTTTCTTTTTAAATCTAAGATTTGAAAATTTTTAATAATCTATAATATATCCTAGACAGATAAACCGTCTTCGCTCAGAATCGTTTTTTGTATACAATGATATAATATCATTGGATTCAAATTTAATTCCATCCATTACAGTAACCCACTTGTTGTAACCTACTGTACAGCAGAGCGACATACACGACTTACCCGCTTTTTTAACCTTTGATCTAACGAATACAATTTTATTGACATTCAAAGAAAAAAATAAATATTTTAAAACTAAAAATATAAGTCAACAGCTCAAAACAAGTTAAAATATTTTGAAAATCGGTTCAAGTATAGCCTATACTGTATAGGAAATGATAAAATAAATATCTGGTGTAAATTTCTAGTATCTACGTCGTATATAGTTTCAAAAAAATAAATACTTATTTATTTACTTATATACTTTTTATTATACAGATACAGATTAAAATACTATAAGTTATAAATTACCTATAGTATAGTGTTATCGCATAATACAATATAATCTTTACGATCATCATTCATCTGAAAAACGCGTTCATTTCTGACTTCTGTAACAATTTTAAAGTTCGAACTTAAATCAATTGTAAATATATATTTTTATCAATTAAACATTTCCAAAGATTTTTTTGACTACTTCTTATACAAATGATGCTGTAGCCCTATTAAGAACCTATGATATAAATATTTATAAACTATAATAATATGTACAAATTACTATATAGAATAGTCTTTAATATTGGTTTAGAATAAGCTATCATTTTTTTTTTTTTATCTTTAGTCTAAAACTCTAAAATCTAAAAGAGTAAGTTACTTTAGTATTAAAAAATATTTATTCGTTTTTAATTTATACAGTTAGATAACAAGCTATAATATGGACTGGCCAGTGACACAGTTGAAAAATATTTTTGAATTTTTTCACATTGTCATTGTAAAATGAGATAAGCAACTAAACTAAATTATTATTGTTTTATAATAGAAAATTCCTTTTATTATTTTATCTCGTTGTATTTATAAATTATAAGTCATAAGTATTTGTTTTAAAAATTCTCAAGATGTTTAAATAAATAATAAGTACCTGTTTTAATATTCAAAAAGAATAATAAAATAATAAAGATCTTATTCAAGTATCTACTAAATAGGTGTTAAGTTAATATTTTTAGAAATAAATGTGATTAAAAAAACCGCCTAATTGTGAATGTCCTTTTGGCTTTGAAAATACATTTTACCTTGAATCTGTACAATATCTTGCAATAGTTTTTATTTATTAATAGATATATATCTAAATTTATATTATGACTTAGTAGTTAGTTTGTTAGGAGTTTTATGAAACGTAGTTAGATAATTTTATTATAATTTTATAATAGACTAGTAGTTAGTTTGTTAAGAGTTTTATGAAACGTAGTTAGATAATTTTATTATAATTTTATAATAGAAGTTACCTAGTTTAATTTTAGAATTATTTTTTTTACCAAGTATTTCTCGCGTATTTCGTAATTTAAGTTATTAACTCATACATAAATTGTTTTTAAGTTAAATTCACGATATAAATACATAAGTATGGTCTTTGAGATAAATTATGGACCACAGATAATATAACACAATCTATAATAAATATCGGTGGATAGCACGATTAAAGATATCATAATCTTTAACCGTGGTGGACTGCAATAACTGTTGCTAGTTAGTGTTGACTGTTCTTTGAAGTTTGAATAAACTATTTTTGATAAAAATAATTTTCTTTTATTATCTAACAGTAAAACTATTCATCGGTACTTTGTATTTTGTAACAACGAAATAAGACATATAGTCGTAATAGGTACCTTATATATACCTACTACAATATAATATATTATATAAGTTATAAAACCACTGTCCATTGTAAATTGTAATATTATTTGCTCATCATAATAATATATTATGGAATAAAATAATATGTGTGTACGATATTTTTGTTTCAGGGCAAAAGATAACAGAACATATTATTCAATTGATTCATTAATTTTGAACGGGTTTGGAATGCTTGTTATAGTTTTCTTATTTTTAATTACTTACATAGTCATAAAACCGAATAGAAATTAAATTTTTTAATTCATTTTGAACATGACGTATATAATATCTATTTAATACACACCAATTTTTAATTAATATATTTTATTGTATTGTATTAATTGTATAATGTTAAAATGTATTCATATAAATAATATATATTTTTAGTAGTTAGGATTAGGTATAAATTATACTTTAGTGCATCAAAAGTTACCTTTCATGCATCTTCATTAAAATTAAATTACCTGTATAATTATAGTTTTTTTTTATTGTTCTTTAGAATCTATTGATTTTACGTTTTTGCAAGTGTCTTCATTTTAGTTGGTATTTATTAAAAATTGAACACAGGTGATACTTTAGAGTTTAATCATATTATAGCCTATAGGTAGGTAAGTCTATATAATTAAATACATTTTAATAAATCTAAAAATTGTTTATTTCAAATTAAATTTTTTTTAAACGTCTTATGAATATATAAATATCTATTATTGCAGGAGTAAGTTATTTATGATTTACCTTCAACAAATGATTCTCTAATTAGAAAACAATTACCTACATACTTCTCTAGAAGATACATAGAAGTTAAAAAATACCCATTAAGGGTGTTATTTATATTATATTTATGTAGTATATATTATTATATATACTATATAATATATAATACTATATATTTACTATATATTTATATATTTATATACTGTATTTATGTTTATTATTGTTAATTATAATACTTTTCTACTAGGTAATCTACTACCCGATACCTATTTAGGAAGGGGGTTAAATACGGTGTATTATATCATTTATATTTACGAAAATAAATTCACAGGAACTTCTTTACGTGCCTTATTGGTATAGGCGAATTTTGATAATTTTTTTCCCCTGAAAGATGAGAACTCTTTTTTAAGACAGATCGTAGCCCAAATTTTCATTTTACTTTAATTAGATAGTGCTAGAAAAATACGTTTGGAAAAGATCAAATATTGTGCATTATTCAAATGCATATTTTATTTTATATAATTATAATTTAGGAAATCCGGGATTTGATCTGAACTGCAAAACATTCTTTTCTTTTTTAAAAAAAGAAAAAAAACAAATAACGAAATCCGGCTATTCTACAGGGCGTGAGAGTTTTTCATGTTTTTGTACTAAAAAACACACTGACTCTGATGTCCTTATAAGTCTCAAATTTCAAGTTGGCTGCTAAGTAGTCAAGTAGATATACATCATATGTTGCACATGAGTATATTATACATAATTATATCAACTAGCTGACCCCTTACACTTAGTTAGGTACTCTTTAAAAATTCCAAATCTACATGGTTCCTTCAAACTTTGGTGCAATAGTGTTCAAAACTTAAACATTTTCATCGGCCATCTTGAATCTCAAAATACTTGTGTAAGCACCACTTTAAAATGCGAATCTCGGAAAATGTTGTGATGTAGCCTGTACCTATACCTACTTTGTATAGATAAAAAAAAAGAGAAATATTTACTAGATATTTGATGTTATTATGTGTATATCAGTATATGGATTAAATACACTTTGAGATAGTAGCTTGGAGTAGCCTCCATGTTAAATCCAAGTTATTAAGTGTTTAATACGAAAAAAATATTTATTTTAGCACCTGGGTCTGGGTGCAATACAGGGGCGTCATTTCAGGTTTTTTTTCGGGTGTGCGAAGTTTCAAGCAGACCATTTTGAAATTTCACCAGGTCATATAAAAATAGATATACATACGTATATGTATATTATCCTGCATTCAATTATTTCCATACATTATAGACCGGTTATTATAATTTGATTTTAATCATATAAATAATTTTGCATTCGTGGCTCGTGCATTATTTTATTTTAGGCTTCTGCAAGGCGCAGGCCATTTGTAACATTCTAAAAGTAAGAGGTGCAACCGCACACCCTGCCACCCCCCCAAATGACGCCCCTGGTGCAATAGTGTTTATTTCCTAATGGTACAGATTGTAAGAGTCCTTGAGATCAACTAATGGCATTTCATTTTTCATGATAATGGAATACCATCGATAAGTAGTGATCATACTTGCTGACATTGATTACCTACCTATTAGAAAACTTATATGACTGTATCGTATCAGTGGCGTAATTAGGAATTTGATTTTTTTTTTGGCGGGGGGGAGGGGATTATATGTTTTTAGCAAATTCTAATAATCACATACAGTTACCTTACCCAACCAAGTATACAATGTTTGTTGTAAAACAAAAGTTTTAGGGGRTTCTATCCCCCTCATCGCATAAGAATTTAATTATTATTTCAATGGGTTAGAGTCGAGGTAGGATTGGTAGGAACAATGACATCAGGTTTGATCCTAACACAGAATACACATATTATAGTTAATGCACTGTTAAATTCAAATATACCTATAATTTATTACCGATAACATGTAAAAGAAATTTAATAGTCCTATTGTATAATTCATATTAATAAATTTAAATTGTTTTGTTCAGACTAAAATACCTATTAGAGTAACAATTGAATTTCCTCCAATTCTAGATTTGGTTACGATCAAATTAATGAAATATTCAAATACTTGCTAGAAAAAAGATTAGTTCTATTAAYCGCTTTATAATTGTTTTGATTCTTTTCTTTTTATTATTAYTGTTTAAAATATATTAAAGATTTTTGGCATCAATAAGGTACATAATATAGTTATAACCAATTACATTTTTATACATATTTACATTTATAGCTGTATAAATATCAGGGGAAAAAGCTTTAGTTTTTTGAACTATAGAAAATTTGGTATGTTATAAAATAGACAACTGTGAAAAAGATTTGGATATCGCTGATTGTTGAACTAATATTTAGTTTTAACTTTTTAAGTAAAGCTGGTATTTTTAATTAAATCTTTAGACCAAACTGTTTTTAATCAGAGAATGAGCACAATATTAGAATTCATGATTTTAAGACAAAATATTGTTTAAATTATTATGTATTGGCACAGGTATTTTGTAGTTTATTCACTAATTAACAATTGTTAAAAATGTAGAGGTATTAAAACATATTGTGTTTACTAAAAAATTAAATATTTATTACTTTTCTATTATATAATATTTTGTACATAGTTAAAATGTAAATTTTACTACAGCATTGATTGTAAGTGTGTTTCATAGTGTATTTTTTTAATCCATAACACATGAAAATAAACAAATAAAATAAAATCAGAAGATCGTAAAATATTGAGACAGTGATTAGGAGAAACAATATTTGGCTATGCACTATCAATTTCAGATGTAATATTATTGATTATTATTTATTACTATGTATAACTTACATGAATACAAATTTAATACAATGTAATATATTATATTGTAATACTATTTGAAAAAATTTAGAAACATTGAAGCACCAAAATTATAAAACCATTATAATAATAAAAATAAATCATTATTAAATTGTGTTTAAATGCTTTTATGGAGGATTTGAAGTAATTTAAACAATACTATTTAGTTATAATATTATTGAACACATGAGATTACAAAACTTCACAAAAACAATGAAGGAATTATTCAATAATAAATTCACAAATATTTTTCATAAGGATGGGTTATTGTACTTTATATAAGAAAAATGCATGTAGATAATTATAAAAGAACAGCATCAAATGGGAAAGCTTTAAATAATTAATGTCCTATATGTATTAAAAATAAATTAAAATAATCTGAAATACTGTTTAATACATCATTTGACAAAATAATATTTTGGTTGTTTCACAATAAAAAAACAATAATACAATATAGATATATTTTTTAAATGAGATTAGTTTATAAAATACACAAAAATATATATTTGAATATGCACGATTACAATAATAAAAATATAGTTATATGATTGCTTAAAATAAGTACAACATTGAGATAATAATAATAATAATAATAATAATAATAATAATAATAATATATTATACAAAAAATTATATTTGTTTCAACAATTCCGTGTTGAGGAGCATTTTTATAAAGCACATATACATATAGTTAACATACAATAAATTAATTTGTTAATAATTCATTAGTTAATATTAATAATTTAAATATCCAAATAAATAATAACTAAAAAGGCACTACTACATGTTAGACACGTGATTATTGTAACAAAATTAAGTTTGAAAATAATACAATTGATAAGGAAAATAAATTTTAAAATATGAAAAAAAWAGATATTTATACTTAATAAGAAAAGAGATATTGAGCAGGAATTTGATTTAGTTCTAATTGCACAAATATATATATATATGTACATATATATATTTTAACTATAAATTTAAACTTAAATTTGATTAAAGGAACTTTGGCACGGCTTTTGCGTTATAGATAAAAAAAAAATGATAGATATCAACAATAATTAATTTTCAAATAGAAATTGTAACAAGTACAGAATTAAGACTAGACTACATTTCAATCATAAATTAAAATAGTTGCCAAAAAAAGAAAAATACGGATAAATTAAGCTAGAGGTTTTTTTTACACCCATCCACCATAATATTTTTTAGAATGCTTAAGTAGTTCTACAATATTAAATGCAGAGTTCAATAAAATTCATTTACATAATAGAAACATAACAATTAATGACAAACAAAAAAACAATTGATGGAAGTACATAAAAATCGTACCCCTGATAACAAGTAAGCGTCAATCATTTCTTTTGTTATAAATCTGTCTAAAATATTATAATTGGTCTTATGGTTTATAATTTCTCTTTAGAAGATACCCAAATGTGTCTACCGGAATTTCTTTCAATCATTGCTTTTAAATTATCATAAACTTCTTCATATGTATCACCTTGCACTATGCCTGTAAATTGATCACCAAATTCTTGTTCTATTTTAGCTGCCCGTTCTACGTGTTTTCTTGCTTCTGCTTCGCTCATACGCTTGCACATTTCCATTAATGCTTCTACACTCTTTGGCTTGAAGAATATTGCTATAGGATGTAACCCAGCAACTTGAAGTCTTTTAATGGCATTACCACTCACATCAAGTATACAATGTTTACCCGATTCAGCTACATGACGGACAGATGAAACGGATGTACCGTATAGATTACCATTGAACTGTCCAGCTTCAATGAACAAATGATTTTGAATGTCAAGGTCCATTTGTTCACGAGATTTTACAAAATGATAATCACGACCATCAACTTCATCTGGTCTAATTTCTCGTGTTGTGTGGGGAACACAGGAACTAAAACGTTCTGGATATTCTGAAATTAGGTCATCATTGATTTTATCCTTTAATGGACCAAGTATAATAACAGGTCGTGTATAGGAGATTTGAAGCCGAACCTGTAAAATAGAATAGGATRWTAGTACTTGATATTATTATAGGTACAACTAAAAATAATAAATTCAAAAATACAAATATTAATAATAAGTTTTCAAACTTAATATATTTTAATTAATAGCTGTGAATTATAATATTTATTATATTCAATAGAAAAGGTTGATTTATGCAATTCATTGGGTTAGTCATTAGATGTTGTTAATTTTTTACAGTTAGTCACATTATTTATATATTACATGTTTCGGTTTAATATAAGAAGTATAAGTAGTAATTAGTGATAAAATCAAAAATTATAGGAAAATTAAAATTGAACTATTACAATAATTATTATCTAAGTGGACTATTTTATGAAATGAATACTTCAGTAAAAATTTAAAATGACTTCATCGTAAATGTCTAGCAATTATCAATAATGTTTAATTAATAATAACAAATAATTATCAATGATAATAACATATTTATTATTAATATAATAATATATCATTTCACAGTAACCATTTTTTAAACAGAAAATTAAAAAAGAAATTGAGGGGCCTGGTACTAACATAATTTTTGTTAGACACAATTCAGAAGAATAATGACCTACTTTGTAAAATTAACATAATTTAATGATCATTATTCATTATTGATAAACTATAATATTGTATGTATTTTTTAAGTTAATAGAAAACAATATTCTACAAGTCTCATTGAATTCAATTCTCTGATAATTTAATATTTAATAGATCTTTAAAACCATCAACTCAATAGGTTTTACATGTAAATTTCTTTATAAAGTACATTTAAATTGCATTTKTTGAATTTTTGCATTTATTAATTCAGAAATGAGTTATCATTCGGGTTTAAATTATAAAAACAAAAATAAACTTAGATGCACAAAACAATAAAAATATACAGATTTGTATATAATATTGTTTTGAGAAAAAAATATAGGTATAAATACATGTATTAAAATTGTTGGAGTGTTAGTAAACAACTATGTAAAAATTGTTCAATTCAATAAATAAAAGATGGCAAAGAAAAACTGTGGTAAACTGATTACCAGTAGATAATGTTTGAAGTAAAAAATATTATTGGTACCAAAATAGTACTAATAAAAATATATTTGCAATACTGATTTGTATAGTTATATTTTCAAATGTGGAAGCCATGACAGTCATGTAATAAAAATAAAATTATTTTTCATAAAATATTAAATACACAAATTCTTTTCTAAAATGGACAAAATACGCTAAATAAGCATTAGCAATGTTTTTTAGCTTGCCGTATAGTAGATTTTTTTGTTATAAATATCCTAAAGGTTCATCACACACTACAGCGGTAGCGGTAAAATGAAGCCTAACATATTTTACTTCTACCGGGGTGGCACCACCAAGACAAAATAATTTTACAGCCACCACTGCAGTGTGTGGCGGCCTAACTTGATCAGATATAAACAGAGAATATATAGAAAAATATGCAACTTCCACAACTTCTTAGCTTTAGGTATCCACTAGTTTCATAAACTTATTTTCTAACACTTCTTTAAAGTCAAAATAATGGAATAATGCCATCAATGATGGAATTTGCATTAGTCTTAACCCTTTAATTAGTAAAATTGTATAAATTTTTGATAATACATACCACTGCTTCATAAGAAGGAGTTTCTTCAACTTTTTCACATATATTTTCTCTAGACTGCCTTTGCAAAACCATATCATCAAGACCATTTTCATATTTACCATCTTTACCTCTTCGCACCCAAGGGAATCTTCTACTAAAGGTCATAGACTTTTTTTTTCTTTCTAATGTTGATAACCTATCTAAACTTTTGCTTTCGTTTCCTCGAAATTTTACAGATCTATCACGGGCTTTTTGTTTACGCTCCCATCGACGTTTGGATGGTATAATGCCAATACCTTCTTCTCGACCAGTAGCTAAGACTTTTCGTGCCTGCCACCATTCATCATCACTTGCATTAGTTACATGAAGAATGGAACCATATTTGAACGGTAGTCCAATACTAGGTAGGCCATCGTCACTGGATGGATCATAATCAAATAGAGTACGGACATACAATGTTTTTTTCTGAGTAGTGCGAATCAATGTGCCAGTAGAAGCAGCAAGTTGAGATTTTAATTCATGAATTTTAGCTTCAAACCTAAGAAAAGATAAATATTCAAAAATATGTAACAAAACCAAATTTTAGTTATTAATTGTATACCTGTTATAATCTTTGGGTCGATGTTGAACTGTTAATAAGACGGTTTGTCCAGCATTTTTAAGGGCATCAGCTGCTTCTTCATGTGTTGCATTTTCTAAACTAACTTCATTTACTTTAAGAATAGTGTCTCCTCTTTTTAACTGTCCAGTTTGATCGGCTGGACCTCCAGCAAGAATGAATGATATAAATATACCTTCTCCATCTTCACCACCAACAATGTTAAATCCTAATCCTCCTGAACCTTTATGTAACACTACTGTCCTTATATCATTGTTTGGTAAGCTTTCATAACTTTTTACAGTATTTAATGTATCTGTAGAATATGAATTTGGAATGGTGTCAATGATGATTGGTGATGGTGCAGAATCTGTGTATGTGATTGGTTCAGTTTTACCAATGACCAATAACACTTTTTCACGAGTATTTTTTAATGTCCATACGGCTTCTTCATGTGTTACATTTTCTAAATTACGATCACCAAGAAGAGTGTTCTTGACTGCAACTAATTTATCACCTACTGATATTCTACCATCTACTTGGGCAGCTCCTCCATCCATTATTTTAGTAACAAAAATCCCATTATCACCAGGTATGTGTTGATTGCCAATCCCACCAGCAATACTGAATCCTAATCCCTGAAAAATATAATCTTCAGTATTTTATGTTACCATTTAGGAACAAGTTGAAAGTAATTAAACATTATAAATCCATGCAACTCTCAACTAGGTAAAAAAAAATACATGTAAAATACTGACGCTAAGTACCTACCTACCTAATTTTTAGAATTAAAATTAAATTTTAAGTTTTAAGCAGCATTTGATAGGCAAGTACATCCAATGCAACTCAAATGGTAGATTAGCCAACACATACTTAATACATTTTAAAAATATAAGGAAAGTATGAAACTAGATTAATGCATAACGGTTAATGATAAAATGAAGCAAAATAAATTAGAAATATCAAGACATATTTTTAAAAATAATCAATTTTTAAATTTTTTATTGGGACATGTTTATGTTATTTGTTATTTATCAACATAAGTTGTTATGGTTACAGAAGGGTGTTATTTTGGAACAAACCTATAAATAATTTTTATGATAAGTAAAATTATTATCAGCAGAATAAAGTTTAGCTAAATGTTTGATATCATAATAATATAGAGTATGACACCCTAAAGTAGTTGCTTTAATGAGAATATGTTTTCTTACAATTATTATCAAGAATGAATTGTTAAAAAAATATGCCATATTTAAACAACACTAATTAATTTACTAAAAGAAATATATTCTCACTAGCATACCTAGGTTAATAAATTGTCTACTACATAAAAAAAGATAAAAATTAAGATAGATATACCTTGGTGCCTTTACTGAGTTCTATTTCTAAGATATTTGGACCTAAAGGCAATATGTTTTTTTTGCGTTTTACACATAATGTAACTGTATGTCCAGCTCGTTTGAGTGCATCTACTGCGGTCGAATGAGGCACACCAACAACAGGTGTATCATTGACTTTGGTGATGATATCATTGACACATAACCGACCGTCTCGGTAGGCTGTCCCTCCAGGAATAATTTTTGTAATAAATATGGATGTATCGTCGTCGGTCTGTGGATTGTCTGTACCGCCTGGATGTATGAAAAAAAACCAAAACATAAACAAATCTGTTAATTTTTCATGATTAGCAGAATGGTAGAAGTTGCACCCAATATAGATATAATGTTATTCATTAAGACTTAATTCAATAAATCTGGTTGTTACATAGGTACCTATTGTAAGTGAAAAAAAATTCTAAAACATACCAGCTATGCTGAAACCCAGTCCCGAGTCGCCTCTTTCTAAGACGATCTCGTCGACAATCCATTCAGGCTTGGCGTTGCCGTTCATTTGGGCGTCCAAGCTGAACAGCGACGACACCTTTCTGATCATACCATTTGAACTGTTGATCGGTTTCTTCTTGGTGGACGCTGAGCGGTTGAGTTCTTTCATAGCGTCCAGCACCCAGACATCCGACGGGTGGCTAGCAGAGTGGGTGATGGATACAGTGTACTAGCTTAGCACACTTTCTAGCACGGAGTAGTCACTGTTGCACGGGCCACAGAGAGATGCTGATGTCTGACTACCTACCTATTTTAGGAAATCCGTTTTTTTTTTTTTAAATGTATATTTATATTTTTACGACACCGCACACATACACACACACGTACACTCACTGACGAGTCACCGCCTACCTACCCTATCTTGTTTTTGGACGGCACACGGTCACTGAGCATCGAGCGTGCACGTCAGTCGTCAGTTCACGGACGACGTCTGGTGAAGACGATGAATGATGATGATGTTAATATTTTACTCTTAATATCTTTTCACTGGCGATAATACCGTCGTTGGGCGGTGGTGACGACCACTGTCCACAACTGACTAGTGACCACTGACGACCACTACAGACTGCAGCTACTCAGTGCACACCGTCACTCCTGTAAATTGCCGTCGACGGGAAACCGAAAACCAAGAAGTGTAGTAGAAAAAAAATTAACCAATAAAATATTTTAACGGCTTTAGTGTGATTAGATATTAATTTTTTTTTCTTCTCTTTTCGTCTCCAGTAGTGGTTGTAGTCCAGTGGAATGTTTTAATTATCGCGAGAGAATTGTTTTATTTACGAGCAAACACACACACACAACATACATACATATGCATTATGTACACACACTACCATAAACACGAACGCAACGACGAACGCACGCACGCACTAACACATATGCACACACACACTTGAATTCCTCGACCGAACGAAAACAATTGGTAGACCAGTGGTTACCAAAACGGCTGTAAATGTATACGATACGAATGCCATAATTCAGTAGTACAACGCGGTTGGAACTATTGTAAAATGCTTCCGTATTATTATTATTGTTTGTTATTACAAATTACAACATGCCCGACTGATGTATTACTGTCCCGACTGTACATAATACCTAGTGCAAATACGTAATTAAATAATAATGMTTGTTAGCTGTACATAATATTGTTATATTCGTGTCGATGAGACACTGACGTGCCCGTGGAATTTTCGCCGTTATTTTTTACAATATTATCTAAAGCCGATTTTTCGTTCTCATTTCACGCTCGTGTCAGCGTTCTCCAACATTTTACCTACGGGCTACGATCCCAGCAGCTACGACAGCAATTTGAAAAAAAAAATAAACGCTTTATTTATTATAATTATTAATAATTTGTTATAATATAATATAATTTTTTTACTGCGCTCAGTGCGCTCACATTTTTTTCTCCCTGGAAATTGGAATGGAAATAGCCAATAGGATAAATAATAATCAGTTATCGTTTTATGGGTGTGTTATCACTTATCACACTCTTGTGATAAAATATGCACAAACGATAACGATATTATGTATATGAACCAATGAACCATTTATTAAAAAAATTTAATATTATCATCTTTTTACAGTCCACAAATATAATAAACGATAACGATAACGATACGCTGTAAAATTGTTTTATTTTCTAGGTTTCGTTGCACGCCGACTAATTTCACTCGTAATAATKCCCAGTTATGAGTTATGTTTGCTGTTCAAAGTCTTGCCGAGGGTAATAATATATTTATATACATMTATTTTTTAACTATGTGTACGTTAGAATCGTAGAAAAAGAGTATTATTGATTGAAACTATTGCACGTTTATCTAGCCCTAAGTCTGAGATTCATGTTTAGTGTTTATGCGGCTATGCTATTTATTAATTTTATTATTAAATTAATACCTACTTTGCATCTCAAATCATTATTTTTTGATTTTATACCTATTCAGAACATGGACATCATACCTATAATATATTATATCTATTGCTTAGTAATTAAGATTTTTAATTTCTGTTTCATGAATCATTTTAATATGAAATATGAAAAATAATTAATAATTGTACATGCAATACATTTAGTTATTATCTATAACCCCTAGATTTTCTAAAATATATTGCTTTTATTTAATATTTTATTCAAAATCTTTAATTCATCATCAATACAAATTATCCAAAGTGTAGTTTTCATAAAAATCYTTTAAAAGAGCAAGTTTTTAGCCTTTAAATAATCTTTATATAGGGTTGTATAAACTTAATATTTTCATCATATTATCTTGAACATATCAGATGTACAAGACAAGTACAACTTTGAATTATACTTGGGATAGGTATTATCCTYTTTTTTTATTTAGTAGGTACTTATTTCATGCTAAAAGTAACATTTAGTGTTATAATTTAATTTAAGACCTATATGGCTGTATTTATGAGTTACTTCAATTTTTCTCATGAGCAAAATACATATATCTACAACYAGAAGGTTAGACCAAATTAATGAAATTAGAGTTTATTATGATACACTCAATAATCTACAAGTAGGTATAATGAATAGTGGTATATGATTGGCTAAAAATTATGGTTTGAAACTTTGAAATGTATTATATAGTCACATTATATCCTATACCAGGGATGGGTATCTCAAGGTTATTAGAAGGCCAATTTATAAAACTTTAAAATTTGGCAAGTCAGAGCATAGAGAACAAAAAAAGCCATTTCTTCAAAATGTACACTTCAATATATATATATTAACAGATCTATTTGTAACTCATTTAATTCTAATTCAAGYGATTAGTGAAGCATCTTGAATTTTAATTTCAACTACCATATAATTATTAAATAAATTAATTTAAGAATGTATACATTTTAAAATGTAACACGAGCCAGATGAAAATAATATGCCGACCACCAGTTATTCATCCCTGTCCTATTACTATCTACTGTCAAACTAAATAATAGGTATCGCCATATCAACTCAACTTTGACATAATAGTTTTTCCAGGTATACTAACCTTATTTCATACATCCCATTTGTCATCAGTCATTAAAAGTACAACATGATACTTTTTGATTTAAAAATGTATTGATGATTTTGAAGTCATAATTTAAACTATTTTTAATACTTTGTCTAGGCTCTGTGTGTAGCTGCATATTATAAACCCATTTAAAATCAATATTTATGTCTTAATAATATTATTTTTTTAGTACCCATTCAGTATTCTCCGAGGTATTCTCTGAATAATCTTGTTTATTCAAAATTAAATTAGTAAATCAATACCTACACAATATGATATATACATTATTTAAATTTATAAAGATTTAGGTATATAATATAAAAAACATTTTTGCAATTCAAGTGAATTGTTTTCTTAAGATAAAAATCCTTGTAAATTTAAAAAATATTATTTGTTCATGTACTAAATTTCTTTTAGTTATTAGTTATTATTTTTAAAAATGAATCTAGTTGGTGCATCGGGGAGAATAATTTTGAAGTAGTTTTCAAAAGCACTGGAAAAAACAAAAAAAAATTTAAATTTTTACTCAAAATCAATACTTGAGAAAATCGATTTTGTATATTGGCRTAACTCTAAAAAAAATTACCATTGACACATGAAATTTTTAGTGAATGTTTATGCTGGTGTGTTCTATACTAGATAAATTTTTCAAAATATTTAAAATCTTTTTAAGTTATTCATTGACATTTGAAATTTTCAATCTTTTTAGTTTATTTTTTGTAAATGATACATTTTCATTCTTTTGGTAAAAAAGTTTCAAAAGGTACTTTTCGGTTATCATACCCCAACGGTCGGTATTTATGCTGCTTAATCAGTTAACCTTGACTAAGTTTCTACGTGCTAAAGATTAATTTAWGCATGTAGTATTGTATTATTTTTAAAATGCATTACTAATATTGTGTTACATTTCACAGAATGATTTACATACAATTTAATATCTTATAATCTTATTACTTTAAGCTGAAAGCTAAACACAGGTTTACATTCACACTGGTAAATTCAGGTCATAGAGTTACTTAATAACAATAAGGAAAAAGTTGCTTGTCAAAATGGTTCTCACTTCACAATTGTTATTGTATTTATTTTAATCTTTAGAAAATTATTATCTTTTGTTTTATGGGTAGTTATGAGCCCTGCCCTATCAACAATCAAAGTATAATATTATAACTGTTTTGTTTGCTAGAAAACTGTTTCAAACCATTCAAATACATTCAGTATTATGATGGATATTATATATTATATTTATCTTTGGTCAATATTAATTATGTATTATGTTATTATTCATTTTTAATATAAACACATTGATAAATTATTCATTAGGTAATAGTTATCAATGGAGAAACTTTATAAAACATTTATAGTATTGATATCTTCCAAAAAGTATATATATATATATATATTTATATAGATATAAAAAATAAATTTAAAACTTATAAAATCTAAATTCTTTACTCCGTTAAGAATGTATGTATATTAACTTAATATAAAATTTAAAACTATGTATCCACATTTAATTATGTAAAATAATACTTCTTGAATTCTTAATTTGTATATTATACATAAATAACATATTTGTGCAATGAATGTATAGGTTTTTAAAATTAACTATGTGATTACTGTTCTGATATATTAACAAATAATGAAACCACAATCTAAAAAAAGAATTGGTACTAGTGTACTTAACTATTTGCATTATCTATCTATAGTAAATAAACTTWAAAAAAATTGAATTTGTTTTTAAGACAATGCACTTGTAAAAATTGATATAAACATTTTGTACCTAAATATTTCAATGTATTACGATAATTATAAGAATTTAAAATCTTTTTAAATAATATACAGTGAAACCTGTATATAATGGACAGTCGCGGGACCAAAATAATTGTCGGTTATAGACAGGTTTCAATGTTTTAAAAATTACAATTTGTATGTACATATTTTGTATTGTTTTTTATTTCATAATAATATGTACTAGGTATAATCTGTATTAATATGTATTATATATTATACACATACATTATAAATTTAATTTTAATTATTATATTTATATTACATGTAATACATAGTACATACAATGACACATTATTAATTGTTAAATTGTATTAACCTAAATTGTTGTACAAATTTAAACTTTATAAATTCAATAGGTACTTGCAATTAGCGTTATCGTAATCGGCGATAATGTAATTGGTCGTAATCCGTGTTTTCACTATGTTCTAATTGCATTTCTTATCAACGTAGTATGTATGTTTTTTTGTCCATTATGAAATTGTCGAGTAAAATATTAGTGTCCGTGTCTGTAATAGAAGGAGTCCGTTATAGACAGGTCGAAATACATTGGAATGCCTATCTTTTTGCCACGACCTGGTCATTTTGTCCGTTAAGAGAGGTGTCCGTTATATACAGGTTTCCGTTAAGTCAGGTTTCACTGTATTGGTAATTCTGTTATAATATTTTTTTTTTTTTTGTAAGGAGAACCCGCGGCAACATAGGCCATTGGGTGTGGGGTGGTACGGTAGGGATTATTTTTGTATGTTTGTTTGTAGGTTTTTAATCGGGTAGGGTTGTAACACGTGTTTGTGTAAGTGTGGCAAGGATATGTTGCTAAAAATTCCGGGTGGTCACCCTTCCGGGAGCTAGCAACTGCGGCCGGTACGTACGCTCAGTGCGTTTCCGCAGATTGAGCGTACGACCGCGCCTCACCAAGCCACTGTTATAATATTGTTATTGAGTTTAGATGCATTGTTAATAATTTTCCTGATAAAGGTGTCAGTAGTGTTGATATTTGATAGACTAGCATATTACCCATTTAAACAAATGTAAAATTGTAATAATTGCAATTTTTTATAAATCTGTTTTTATACTAGCAATGTACTAAAAAAAATCAATTTTTGTTATTTTTAGCCTGAAATAACACAATGTCTAAAACGAACAGCCTGTAAAATCTTTGAATCCGGTGGGTTTATACGGCGTATTGACAACCTAGGAACAGCAGATACCCCTTGGAAAATAAGT